GCGGACTTTGAAAATGCGCACCAGCCGAGGCAGAAGAGTCTTGCGTTGGGTGAGCGTCGACTTAATGACTGTTGCATTGGCCCTTTGAACTCTTGACTTCATCTTTAATTGAAACTACACTTTTCAATCTGGGACTTGCTTTTTGTGGCTTGATGGGCCGCTGCATGCTCGTGACCCGCGCGACGCGTACAGGCGTTTGTTTCAAGATCGAAGATTCAAATTAAAACAGGTTCTCGACTTTGCGAGAGGAGCCTTCAATGAAGAAACGGACGCCTTTGCATGCCAGCGTTCAGTCCAGACACGCCTTGTTTACTCAATACCCACGCTGTGCTTTTTGTGCTCCTTGTGCTCCTGTGCCATGAATGCAAGTCGATTAGCGCTTGGGCCGCCTGCCTCTCCAGGCAGCGCAGCTAGGGCATCCCTATGCTGGTCATGCGTGCTAATAAGGCTGTAGCTTAGCTGCTACATGTGCATATATCCACAGCGCGCATCTGCACGACGATGAGCAAGCATAGTCGATCACCATGCACTCATGACTCATGACTCTTGATTCTTGCTTCTGGACTGCACTTTCAACATTTAGCGTCTTTCGTTGTTTCCTCTTCGAGATACCTAACGCCGAGAATTGCATCCGATGGTACGCTTCCTTTTCCCTGCCTTTTGAAATCAAGACGGCTTCACTTTGAGCACCGCACCTGACAAAGACGTGTTGTGTAGGCCCTTGTGGGCTACTTGACAGCGTTGATTGCAACAAAGTGACCTTCCGTCATCATCACCACTCGTGACTGTGCGCTATAGACGGGTGCATGGGCAGCAGGAAAGGCGGCGTGTGAGACCGAGTGCTGCGCTGGCGTGCTCAAAGACGACACGATCCGTGCGCCTCGATCGATGCACTGCGTCGGAAGGAGGGATGCAATGGCTTCAAGTCTTGTATAGGTGCTCCTCAGGAGAAAAGGCGGAGAGTCGCGAGTGCGAGTGCGAGACGTCTCGAGTTATGGAGTACGAGCGTCCAATTTTGACACGAGACGAAGAGAAGAGTAGAGGAATCAAAAGGCGAAGGCGTATCACGGATTCAGGATTGTCAGTCGTGAGTGGCCTGCAAATGTGCGGTGCCAAAGCGTCATCTCCGCAACGTTCAGTAGTTTTTCGACTTCGCGATCGGAGTCTTTTCCTGCCTCTTGTACACCTGCCAAGCCCAAGCTGCGACAGCGGGCAGAGCGGCCCATGTGGTGAGAGCGAAAACGCCTCTTTCGAATTCGAAAGCCTCCTTGTTGAGCTCGTCTGGCAGTCCAAAGGCTTTGTGTACAGTCGGAAAGTTGGCGGCGATACCTGCAAACGTGAAGAGAACGATCATCATGACACGCTGGTGGAATGTGCACCAAAAGTCATCAGTGTCGGATCTGCGCTGGCTTCTCACACGTTGGAGCGCTCTGGGTGGTGCCCCAGATCAAGCGGACCGGCTCAGATCTCACCTGCATGGGAATGACGCTCCCTATGAATGTGTGCAGAGTAGCCCAGGCTCTATGAGCTTTCCAGTCCTTCTTGCGCGCCGTCAAGTAAGTCATCAACACGGTAGGCGGCCTACAGGTTCATCGTACCTACTCGATCAGCTTCGGCGCCAGGAACAAGTGGATCTGCCAGTCCATTGCTCACCAAACGAGACCGGCGAGAAGGACAACGAGGTTAAAGGAAGGCCAAACGAGGTAGCCCCAACGGTGTGTGGCCTGCAGCGCGCCAAGTCGCGAAAGGGACCACCGTGCGTCAGCATCTGGTGTGGTTTGGCTTCTGGATCCGCTCGACTCACCAGCAAGTCGGCAGAGTAGCTCAGATCGTGAAAAGGGAAGGAGACGCCAGAGTAGGTCAAAAGGCACGCAGAGACGAGCGTAGCTCTACCAAGCCATTTGTGCACGGCAGGATACGCTGACCGCAGCCGGATGGAGTGCTGGGCAGGGATTGCGATGCTCCAGACGATAGCAGGTGCAATGTGCAGCCAGCCGTAGAGTAATGCTCCCTTTTCGAGCCTGTCCATGCTGAATTCGAGTCCGGTCGACTGCGTCGCACAAGCATCGTCAGCTTTGATTGGTACACATCTACAAGTGATCGTGTATTTCGGGTACCATCAGAACTCACTGGCTCCCTTGTTCCTATCAAAACTGGCGTCTCGACGTCCCAGTACTTTGAGGGGTCCCAAGTTGAATTGCCGCGGTTCAACCAGGCCTCTTCTGCTTGTGACCTCAACGATCGGGCCATTTCAATCCTCGGATTGCTGCCTATGCCCAGAGGCTCCAACAGGGGCAGCAGGGCGAACAGGATCATGACAATTGACAGCAAAAGCAGAGGGCTTTGCGTCACAGTCTTTGGAGAAGACAATGAGCTTGGCAATGGGATCAAGCTTCGCGCAGCTCGCTTTGAACCATAAGCAGTGCCCGACTGCTCCGCTATGAGGATTGACGTGCGAGGCATGACGTGTTCGCTGGAATTCCAGGCAGAGGTGATGAGTACTGAGTTGGATGGATGATGATGATAATGTCTGACTGTAGAGTGGTAAAACCCATCGACGGCGTGCTGTTCCTTTTATGCGTGGAGGCACGCCTTGTTCACTTGAGCACAGAGCGCAGGGCATGCCAGCACGAATCGTGAAGAGGGACTCACACCTGCCTCGAGCTCAACCTCATCAGGATGCCTCAAGCAAATCCCACAGATCTCCTCCTCTTCTCCGAGCTTTTGTGCGCTCTCTTGAAAGGACCTGTGGGGTAATTTCGGATTTGCGAACCCAATAATAGTACAAATGTGTGGACTATGAGAGAGCTATGCCGCCCAGTGATCGAGAACTCGCGAAGGCCAAGCTGACAGACATGGTGCTGGCCCGGTCCGCTTACGAAGGTGATCGATCCACATTTGGCAATCAATCACAATCTAGCTCCGCCGGAACTCGAAGTGTTGGGCCAATCGTGAATCAGTGCATTACGCGATTGCTCCTCCAGGCGGAGCTCAGCAGAGCCGCATGATAGGTGGGATGCAGCTCCAGCACAGGCCAGCAGCAGCGGCAGCGGCACGAGCGGAACTCATCAGGCCAAGCCGCGCCGCGCCGCGGTATGTAAACGATCCTGCGATCA